AACTGAGGTCAAACTGCTGCCTGTTCCCGTACTGATGAGATACTGCTGTGAACTCCAGCCTCGTGCTCCAACCTAAATGCCAAAATTTTACACTTGCATTTTTAACGAGCTCTGGGTGTGATTCATGTCACCTTACGCTAGATGTCTTAAGCCTGAGCTGGCCACTGTACTCGACGCAGTGCGGTGTCGTCGGTGGAGAGAGACAGGCACCCTCAGATGACTTTTAATCACCCTTTGAAGGTACCTACCTCTCTCCACTGGCTCGAAATGCGGCCTAGGCTAAGTCACAGTTGGACATCTAATGTGTAGACACCAGTGCTGGGGATCCTGATCCTGAAGAAAAAAAAAAAAAGCTTTCAAATAGAAGCTCTGTTCTGTTTCTCTTGTGAATTTATGGACAACTGGAAATGTCTGCTTGCTCACTCAACTCTCCAGAGTGGAGTAATGAATTAAAAAGCCAGCTTTCGCTATGTCACTGCTTATCTTGGTAAGGACAGGTTGGTATGTTTACTTGTCACTGTTCGGTACTGGGGTATGAAGTATCTATAAAATAGGAAGATGTGGCTTTCTTTTCCTCCCTTAAGGCCCCAGACCTCAAAACGAATGTCCTGCCTTGTCCAAACCATCCTTCCTCCTTTCTCCTTTAAAGAAGTGTAGTTTTGTGACACAAGAAAAATAGCATTTATGTGCAGAAGGAAGAATGAACTCTACACTGATCCACTGCAGTGGCTTAATTCAGCTTTAACCATTCAGTTGTTCTGATTTAAAATAATCTAATGGAGTTGTCACACAATTTCCAGTCAGGGGGTGAGCACTCACTCTACAGGGGTGCTAAGGGCAGTGCATATCAGATCACTGGGGGTGGAAACGAGCAGGAATGTTGATTTTATAACCTCTACGTGTGATGAACGGGCATTTTCATGTATTTGCGCCTCATCCCGCCAGTTGCTGTAATCTGATCTGTATTCGTGGATGAATTGTAGAACTTCCTTACCATCAGACGGGCATTTCTGTACTGTTTGGGCATGGCAAACCCGAAGATGGCTGAGAAACTTCTGTTTCCTCATCTCTTATTGCTTCTGTCAGTGTTTCGAGCTATCCTAACAATGTTTAAATACCACTTCATTGTGGAAGTTGCTTTCTGTCACGGTGGTTATTTGCATGAATAATAATTGTTGCATAATTGGAATCCGGAATGGATAGGATGGGCTGATCAAAACATTTCAAAAAGCTCAGCCTAGAAGAATTATGTATGTTCTGGTTCCCTTTGTTTCTTCACACATTTTCTTTTTCCAGAATGCCTTTCTTTGGCCCTTGGCCACCCAAGACTAGAATAAGAAAAGTCCAGAGAAGGAAAAATTGGAAGAGCTAATGCTGTTAACAATCTGCTCCTGTGCGTAAGAACCTGAGCTTGCCAAGAGGTAGGTAAATCAACTCCTTAGAAGTGAATTGAAGCTGCTGAAAGAGAAGATGGAAAACCATGACAGCAAGCTAGCCAGCTGCACAGGCGCTTCGTGAGTCTGCTGTTGCCCCGCTAACGTGGAAGCACTGGTCAACCTCAAAAGGTCTGTCCGGTCGGAGAGAAGATTGCCGTGGTGCTGCCTCACCGAGAGAGCCACCGGGAGAGTCTTCCGACAGGGACGTTTTCACTGGTGCAGCCTGAACGCGGTGATTTATTCCATCACCCTGTAGAGGTGTAATCCCGGCCTTCAACCAGAGACCACCAGCTGCTCGCCCGGGGGTGACGCACCGCAGAGATCCCCCAGCGGGACCCAGCTCCCGATCCCGGCGGCGTTTTATTTCCCCCTTTTGAGGGGAAACAGGGTCTCCAGGCCCGAAGCGGGGTGCCGCTGCCCTTCACGGACGCCGGCCCGGCCCGGC